CTGGTCCCCGGCCAGTCCTTTGAGATCATGGATATGGGAACTCTGAGACCCCTCAGTGGAGTTCTCTGCAATATAAAATCACGAAGTCAGGCTTCCTAAGCCTGGGCCACCCAGTGCAACAGATTTTCACTTTACAGTCAGGATCTTAATTGCTAGAGGCAGGCTGTATTCTTCATAGGAGCATGTAAGGTTTTACCTTAAAAAATCAACCACTCTATATACTCGTACTACTAAATATCGACTAATAAATACATTTAGGTCTAAATTTCCTGCATGACTGGTACTCTGGCTTATTGGTTAGGACTGTTGCTACTGGCCTACACGGTCTGTGTACGTACTTCACATGTTTTCCTTCTAACATATGTGTGTGCCCTGTAGTGGACTGGCATGCCATCCAGACTGTTCCCCTGCCTCGTTTCTTGGGCCTCCTCTCCTGTAACCCTGAAAAATGATTAGAAGAGTGATGGATGGAATTCCAGATATTTTGTTGTTTTAATGAGTGATGTAATTGAATATGCAATGGGGTTCATATGCTGTGGTGTATAAAACAATAATGAAAAAAATCAAATCATAAGCTGGGGCTTGGGGGCGTCTCAAAAGCCTAGAGGAGTCAAGGATCAGACAGGGTTCATGCAAGACACAGGCAAGGGCAACACAACAAATATTCACAGTAACACAAGCAAGGGGCTATTTACATTTTCCCAACATGCTTCTGGCACTACAGTAATTGCCAATTCTCATGCATCTGGTGTGACACTCACGCTTTCAGTCTCTCGTGCTCTTGCCAGAAATCTTACTGCAAATCTATATTATTCCATAACAAGCTCCAAAATTAGCCACATCAAAAGTGTTGGGGTAGTTTGCAATAGTGGTGTACCATACTGCAATATTTGGTATCGATCCAGTACCAAGTAAATACAGGGCTAGTATTGCCAATACCAATACTGATAGTGATACTTATAAAAGCAACTTATGTACTGTCATGTAGGGGAGAGCAGTGTGTCATGATTTATGTGTGATTGCATCATCAGTATGCTAAATATGTATACATTTTCACCGGTGCCAGGCTTCCTTTTAAGGGCTGTTCGGTTCCTGTACGACCAGTGCCAGAGCCTGGTCCGCATGGGCGGCAATAAGTCGGACTTGTTTCCAGTGAGGGTTGGACTCCGTCAGGGCTGCCCTTTGTCACGATTCTGTTCATAGTTTTTATGGACAGAATTTCTAGGCGCAGCCAGGGCGTTGAGGGTGTCCGGTTTGGTGACCTCAGGATTAGGTCTCTGCTTTTTGCAGATGATGTAGTTCTGTTGGCCTCATCAGACCGTGACCTTTTGCTCTCACTTGGACAGTTTGCAGCCGAGTGTGAAGCGGCTGGGATGAGAATCAGCACCTCCAAATCCGAGACCATGGTCCTCAGCCGGTAAAGGGTAGAATGCTCTTTCTGGGTCGGGGATGGGGTCCTCTGCCAAGTGGAGGAGTTTAAGTATCTCGGGGTCTTGTTCACGAGTGAGGGAAGGATGGAGCGGGAGGTCGACAGGCGGATCGGTACGGCGTCCGCAGTGATGTGAGCGCTGCATCGGTCTGTCATGGTGAAGAAGGAGCTGAGCCAAAAGGCGAAGCTCTCGATTTACCAGTCGATCTACGTTCCTACCCTCACCTATGGTCACGAGCTGTAGGTAGTGACCGAAAGAACGAGATTGCGAGTGCAAGCGGCCGAAATGAGTTTCCTCCGCAGGGTGGCTGGGCTCTCCCTTAGAGATAGGGTGAGGAGCTCGGTCATTCGGGAGGGACTCAGAGTAGAGCCGCTGCTCCTCCGCATTGAGAGGAGCCAGATGAGGTGGCTCGGGCATCTGATTAGGATGCCTCCTGGACGCCTCCCTGGTGAGGTGTTCCGGGCATGTCCCACTGGGAGGAGGCCCCGGGGAAGACCCAGGACACGGTGGAGGGACAATGTCTCTCAGCTGGCCTGGGAACGCCTCGGGATTCCCCCAGAGGAGCTGGATGAAGTGGCTGGGGAGAGGGAAGTCTGGGTTTCCCTGCTGAGACTGCTGCCCCCGCGACCTGACCTCGGATTAAGCGGGAGATGATGGATGGATGGATGTATACATTTCCATGACCACCACAGGATAATGTGATTTTTGTTTTAACTAATTAATAGTGGAATCATATGCATGTTAAAACTCAGGACAGAGTTTAATTAAGTGAAGTTTTTAGGCAAATAAATTTTTTTTATTTTAATTTGCAAACATGAATTCTGCACACAACTGTTACTGGAGATGAAATGTTTTAAAACTTAAATTCTATTTCGGTTAGAGTTTTTGTTCAGTTTTTTTGTTCAGAAACAATAACAAGATAAAATAAATGTTCTCCTTTCATTACACTTATAGTAACGCAAGCTTCCGCCAACATGCTGTAGAGAAATCGTTTGCTATACAGAATACACAGTCAGCTGTTTCTAATTTCTTTCGACTCCGTACAGATATTCAAATATTTAACCTTTTTTTCCAAGGAAGCATGAAGCGAAGGAGAGGTGATCCTTCACCCCTGGACATGACTAAAATATTACTTTCCCCACTATATAAGCTACCTGGATATTCTTTGCATCTCTGAAAGGACTCTGCCAGAGACCTGTGTCTACTAAGTCCCGGGGTTCTGGGTCTGTCTGACGGGTTTCCCTCTCTTCCTTTGTTTTACAGCTCGGGAGTTCCCTTTTTCGTGGTTTTTCATGTGTTTGTATAAATTGGTGATGTTGCCACAGTAGCGGATAGCCCTCCTACACCATCAAACAGGCTTGACAAGTATAACTTGACCTAAAATGGACTCCGTAGTAGGTTTATGAACGGTTAAACAATACAACACGAAATGTCCCCTTACGACCAAAGTACACACTGCAGCTTCTGAACACAGGCTTTTTTTTCCCTTCTATTCCTTTATTTTTAGGGCGGTATCCATCTTCCTTATCTCCCTCAAGTACCTTTGCAATACTTGGCTCGGCTTTAGGTACAATCGAACTGTCATTGGGCACCACGGTTTTTCTTTTCCCTTCTATTCCTTTATTTTTAGAGCGGTATCCATCTTCCTTATCTCCCTCAAGTACCTTTGCAATACTTGGCTAGGCTTTGGGTAGGCTACAGTCGATCTCAGATTCGTCTGAGCGGAGAAAGCAGAAGAGCAGGACATAAAGAGAAATAACACAAAGGCATAAACATGTTGCACAGCCTCGCCGGATGGATCGGCGCTGTTATTTATTACCTGTTTGCATTACTTGTGATCGCATTTGCATGTTACTGTTTGTACATAAAGTACATTCATATGAAGTATGATCATATACCCGGACCACCACGAGACAGGTAAGATGACGCTTAATAATATTTTCGACTTTGGAAAACGATGTTAATAATAATCAGCGTAGTCAGATGATGACCTCATCATCTTTACGGTTTTCGCTATAGAAATTTTACTTTCTGTAAACTCTTTACCTTGCAGAATAGCCTCTTAATCCATTAGTCTGTTTTAAACAACGTTTTCATCTAAATATATAATTTCACCAATAATTTACGCCGAAACATGCTGGAAAAATGTAAAAGCCCTTGTTTGTGTAATTGTGATATTTATCGTGTTACCGATTGTCACGGGCGTTCTTGCCTGCCATGCGTGAACTTTGTGCAATCTTTGCGTGTCTGTAGCCAGTGTATAAATTACCCACCGTGTGTTACACTGTCCGGCTTTGGTTCCGCGTTGTCTTGGTTTGCTGCACTTTACAATACATACCGTAGTAATTAAAATTAGAAAACATTGATTTATAGTATCCCAAAATTAAAACTAATCCGAATTCAAAGTATTCTAACATGAATAGCAGAGATTGAGTTTTATTAAATATTTCTTCAGTGAAAGCTATGCCACTTAAAATAAATGGTTTAGTGTTATTATTTCTGTATACCTTTTTTTTTCTCTCTCTCCCCCTCTCCCCATGTTGATTGATGTCTGTTATTGTTACGCTTGTTGTTTCTGTATCCCCCCCTGTTTTTCTTTTTTTTTCCTTTTTCCACAGGACGGGTGAGTTCGGTGCTGCCACACTCTTTGCTCTTGAATGTAATGTAAAATAAAGTTGTCCTCCGAAGAGGGTGGGCAATAAAATAAATAAAATAAATGTTAGACAATGATTTGTTACACTGAACTTGGCGATTTTTGGATCTAATCTGAAATATCTTGAAATATGTGGTAACACCAATCTATTTGGCAACATTGGTAGGCATTTTGCAAAATGGTGGATCTCCCCAAGGTGACCAAAACACTGTGACTTTTTGGGACTTGAAAGACTTTTTTGAAACTTTTATTGTACAGATTCAATATTTAAGAAATGGAACGACTAACTTCTCTTCCATTGGCTAAGAGGGTCACTCCATCAGCCTTTATTTGATCAACCTGACGTCACCGTGTTTCGGTCACCTTGGAGAAATCCACCATCTTGCAGAATTGCCTATCAATGTTGCCAAATAGATAGGGGTTGCAAGATATTTCAGAGTAGATGCAAAAACCGTCAAGTTCAGCATAATAAATCTTTCTCTAATTTGAAACATTTATTTTGTGATGTGGCATAGCTTTTACTGATGAAATATGATTAAAATACATCTCTTCTATTCATGTGTGAATAACTTTGAATTTGGATAAGCAGTGACTTTGCATATTACAAAAACACCTCATTCTCTAATTTTGATTGCCACTGTATATACTCAAATGACTGATGGTTAATGAATACCTTTGGATGAAAGCATCACTGTTCTAGGTGTGCCTTTATGGTAAAGGTTTATAACATTCCTATGTGTGGATCAATTTCAGCTTTTTCTTAGGACAATCCCCTTCAATACTAAGACGATTCAAGGCAAACCAGTCGGTGCATGATTTATTCCTGGAATGGTGAGAAGACTCTCCAAAGGCTACTTTTGCAATGACATTTAACCGGGCTTAATTGATTGATTAATTGCCTAATTGCCTTTCACACCTTAAGCTGTTGGTCACATATTGGCATGCACTCTGCGCAGGTCTCTCAAGTATGGCCCTGTCTGCCGAATCAACACGCTGCATTACGTAGTCATAGCCGTTGCAAGCCCAGAAGCCACAAAGGTGCCCAGACATTGTACTACAGACTCCAGTGTTTCTGAAGGTTTTATTGAACATATGAATTCCTAAATAATTAACTCCTAAAAATGATAAAATGTCCTTATAAAACACACTATAAAGTTGATTTGGAAATGCCTGCTTATATGCGACTCATTCTTGCCTTTCCTTGATGCACAGGAATTCTTGATGTCACCAAAATACCCCAAGGATGATTTGGTCTACAAAAAGCTCTTCAACTTGTTTGGGACAAGGTAATTTAAAAACACTGACAGTGGTGCCCTTTAAAGAAGGACCATACCTTTACAAAGAAGAGTTCATTTTAAAGGGACTTTTCATTTCATGATGACTTCTTTTCTTTCATAATCATTCAATGACTATGGTTCTTCCATGAGTTTATTACATAAGAACCTAACAAAACGAGACCTAGAACCTCAGCAACGTGGAATGGGGGCACAGGGTTTAACTAGGTCACCCCTAGGTGGGGATTATCATTACTCAATTGATTGAGGTCAGTTTAGTACCTCTGTAGTAGTGGGCTGGCACCATCCACATAATACTGATATAACACAAGTGTTGCTGCATGTTCCTCAGCATTAGCCTGCCTTCATGTTGTATACATTTAATGAGGAGTTTTAGAACTAAAAAAAATCTTTATAACCACAACTATTTATTGAAAATATACACATGCTGCATATATAATTTTTGCTTTGATTTGAGGATTTTTTCGGAGTAAGACATAAAATGTTTCTTTATAGAACCCAAGGGAAACACTTTCATAAACAGGAGTGAGGAACAAACAGAGAAAGCATGATGGGTGTGAGATGTGCAAATGGGCCACAAGGTTGGCTGTGTGCTTAGGCATGTGAGAGCAGACTCCTGACTTTGCCCCAGTCCCCAGATGTTTCCAGCTGTTATTGTGTCATCATCCAGTGTTGGCCTGCTAGCAGAGCACCTACCATGTATTCACTTACCTTGCTCTCTTGATAACTTTACATGCAATTGTCTTTTTGTTTAGCTTGCCTCTTTTTCCTGTGAACTTCCTCTGATTCTGGTTACAGAAAATTAGATAAAATAATACAGATGCTCCACTACTTACGAACCTTCAACTTACGCCCTTTCAGACATACGAACGAATAGGACTGTAAGTCTAAATTGTGTTAATTGGGCTCCCGTTTCCTGTCCGCAACATAATTTTTTTTCCTGCACTCCCAATTCCTCCTAGTACGACTTCTAGCCGTTACTCCCGCCGCACAGCAGTGTAGCGTGCGAACTCCCAGCATCCTAGTTCTTTGTACTTGCATATACCCTTAAAATGATGTTGATTAACGACTTACGAACATATCAAATTATGAACGGCCGTTCAGAACGTATCTCGTTCGCAAGTAGAGTAGTGCCTGTACATGAAATGTCCAAAAACTAAATAATTTTTAAGTATAAAAATTTTGATTTAATTTCAGTTTGTTTTCAATGCAGATTTCTGGGAAATGGCCTGATTACGGACACAGACCATGATCACTGGTACAAACAGCGCCGGATTATGGACCCCGCTTTTAGCAATACGTAAGGACAGCCACTGTCTGCCATGACATCTCTCTTCACTGCTTAGATATATCTCATACCATCTCATCAAAGGCCATAACTGTGTCATTTGCCTTCACAAGCACTGCATTATCTTATTTGTACACTGTATTTTTGCCAAGGAGTTACTGTAAAACTCTTTACAGCTGATTTTGCCAAAGCAAAAGATAATGTTAAAAACAGAAAAAAAGCAATTTTCCTCTGACGGATTTCCCAGAAAATACACTTTGGGGTACTTGAACGTAAGCTGCTTATGTACAATGCCTGCCAAAGGCACACTATTAATGTACTTTGGTAAAAGTTGTTGGTGAGAAACGCTGTTTGTGACAGGTACCTGAGGGGGTTAATGGATACCTTTGATGAGCGTGCGGAGTTTCTGGTAGAGAAGCTGGAAGAAGCTGCGAAGAACAACACATCTGTGTACATGCACAGCCTGGTCAACTGTGTTACCCTTAGTGTCATTGCCAAGGTGCTGCCACCTCTCTCTTTGTCTGTTTATCTGTTTGATCCTTCTCTCTTCATTCAAATTATATATTTTTTTCTGTAGTATTGTTTCCCAATCTGGTCTTCGGGGACCCACAGATAGTCTATGTTTTGTAGACTGTCTGGCAGAGAGCTGGGAGGGAGCAAAAACATGGACCGTCTGTGGGCCCCCAACGACTAGGTTGGGAGAACACTATTCTATAAAAAAGAGGAGAAACGAGAAAAACGAGTAACAGAAATGCAGGCAGTAAAAACAGAAAACAGTAGAATAGATTTGAAATTATAAGAGATAAAGTGAGACCATAAAATAAAAGTGGATTTAAATAGTCTGAATAGGCAATCAACTAGTTGTACTCCCTTCCAATTGGAAGGTCCTTAAGATGTCTTACCAAATGTTTTTGTTTCTATTGTAATTTTTAGAAGGTGTTTGCTATTAGACAATTCGAAGATTCTGGATGGTGTGTAACTGAAGAGTAAATCCTTTAAATGTTCACTTTAAAAGTAGCACCATCTGGAGACACAGATATGTAGAGCTGTATTATCAGCAAAGCTATGGAGGTGTGGTGGAGTGGCGGCTCTGAGGCTATGGATCTGTGCCAGCAAGTGGAAGGTTGCTGGTTCTATTCTTCTCAATGACCAGAGTGATTCTACTCTGTTGGGCCCTTGAGCAAGGCTGTTAACCTGCAATTGATTTGTCCTGGGTATGACGTTAATCTACAATCAGTGCATGCTCCTCATCTCCTCCTCCTAAAGAACTGTATTCCATGCCCCTAAGGGGAGTAGGTATAGGCTAAAAAGAATTAGGCCTAATATATAGCCTTGAGGCACACCACAGGAGGAATAACCATCACATATGATGTCCTTCCCATGAGATATAACATAAAGCACAACTCCTGCAATACCAACCCAATGTTGTACTCTGTTCAGCAGAAACTTGTCAATAGTGCAAAAGGTTGCACTATAATGTAACAGTAGCACTGATTTGTTTCATGTATCTCTATCCATTCATACTTAGATGTTCTTGTTTTCCCACTCTATCCATTCATTCTCATGTCATGACCCTTGTTAACCTTGTCCGTTCATATTCAAGTCATTGCTAGCTGGAGTTTTACTTACAGAAAAATGGTCCTTGGGCAACACCAAAAAAACAATTGGCTCAGAGAGATAACCAATCAGATTGTAGAGGAGGTGGGACCAAGACATCTGATTAGTTGGTCCTACACAGTTAGTCCAACACAGTGGGACCTCTACAATCTGACTGGTTATCTCTCTGAACAAATCGTTTTTTCATTCTGTCCTTGGAACATTTTTGTGTAAGTAAAACTCCCATGCGCCAGGCCATCCGCCTTATTCATGAATTGTTTTTCAGGTCGCCTTTGGTATCGACGTGAATTTGCTAGAAACCGAGTCTCCATTTCCCAAGGCCATAGAAAAATGCTTGAAGGGTATGGTGTACTATCTCAGAGATCCAATGATACAGGTGAGGAAATTTGGCTAATTTGCTGAAATGAGTGGAAAACACTAATTGTTGTGATAATATTCTTTAACGTGTCACTCTCATCCGTTTGTCAATGTTTAGCTGAAGCCGTGGATGTGGAGTTTTATTAAAGAGGTGAAGGAGTCCGTACAATTTCTACGTAGGACTGGGGAAGAGTGTATCAGCGAGAGGAAGAATGCCATGAAGAATGGGGAGGAGGTGCCAAAGGACATCCTTACACAGATACTGAAATCTGCCGGTATGTTCACACGCCTCAAAGTGCTCCCTGGAAGAAATATGGGTAATAGCAATTATTGTTGCTATTAATACACATCTAACCCACATACACAATAGCCCTCGATCATGTGACTTTTACTCCATGCCATCTTAGAAATTCATTTTGTCATTTGTTTTAACAGAACTAGAGGAGCATGATGATCATGAGCAAATGCTGGACAACTTCCTTACTTTCTTTATAGCCGGTGAGGCACTTCATCGTGCTTTTTGGAACATTCCCTGTTCCGTAAAGGAACCTTGGCAGAACATAGTAGATGTCTATGCTGCAAGAGTCTGTGATGTCAGATCAGTGTATGAAGCAGTTTCAGTATGACCTTCATCTATTTTACTTTTTGCAGGCCAAGAAACCACAGCTAATCAGTTGTCCTTTGCTATAATGGAACTAGGAAGGCAGCCTGAAATACTAAAGAAGTATGAAAAAAGCTATATCCAAAAACGAAACGTTTTCTTTGGGAAATGCATTGTACTTTCCACATATATAACATAGAACTATATAGGAAACCTGAAACTGTAGGTTATTTTTGTAGACTCAGGCAGGAGGTGGATGATGTCCTGGGTCTAAGGCAAGACATTCAGTATGAAGACCTGGGGAAGTTGACCTACATGTCCCAGGTAACATTGACACAGCAGAAAAGCACAATTATAGTAGTGCTTAGAAAATTGGTAGCATACTTTCAGTAACTATTGGAGAATGATGATTGATATTCACAGGTCCTAAAGGAAACACTCAGATTGTACCCCACAGCTCCTGGAACATCACGGTGGATTGCTGAAGACATGATCATAGAAGGAATTCACATTCCCGGAGGGGTTTCAGTTGTGGTTAAGTTTTTAAATTGTTGGTTATAAAGTTTAAGAAAAACCATTATGTTCTCTATGTACTCAGTTGTTGGTTTCTGTATGTATGTTAAGTGATTTTTTTTTACATTCCATCACTGCTAAGTTATGTTCAGCTTCTCCTCTTGTCCTTTTTTCTCTTGGAAATATCTAGGTGAGCTCATATGTGGCAGGGAGGACAGAAGCTTTCTTCCCGGATCCACTGAAGTTTGATCCTGAAAGATTTCACCCTGACGCCCCAAAGTAGGTCTATGTATCTGATTTAGCATGGCGGCGGGTTAAAAACTTCCAGAACTGACTCAGCACACCCATATCGGCTCCCTGACGGTGCGTGTCTCTGTCGTCTCGCTTCAGGCCCTACTACACCTACTTTCCCTTTGTCCTGGGACCTCGGTCCTGCCTCGGGAAAACCTTCTCACAGGTGAGACTAAAGACATATTGTGTTCAGATAATTTACTCATGGTTAGCATGGTATAAACCAGCACGTGCATTATTTACTCTGAGCTAGCGTGTTGGTATTCATTGGAGCTGATGTGGTTCAATTGGTACTACATATGCCTGACCTCATCGTTTTGTCTTTAAAATAGAATGTGGGAAGTTTGACAACAAAAACGGTATAAAGTAGTTTTGGCGTTATAACAGCAGAAATAAAACGTGGCCTATAGACATTACTGGAACATGAGACTGAGAGCTGGATATATACAGCCAAAGAAAAGATACACTATATGAGTGTTTATTATTATTATTATTATTATTCACTTTGCTTTTAATGATTTTACTATAATGCCTTAACCACTACATGGCCTGGAGCCCCATAATGATTTATTACCCATGTTCTTTCTGTGCAGATGGAGGCAAAGGTTGTGCTGGCCAAACTGGTGCAGAGATTTCATTTCCACCTGGTCCCCGGCCAGTCCTTTGAGATCATGGATATGGGAACTCTGAGACCCCTCAGTGGAGTTCTCTGCAATATAAAATCACGAAGTCAGGCTTCTTAAGCCTGGGCCACCTAGTGCAACAGATCATCACCTTACAGTCAGGATCTTAATTGCTAGAGGCAGGCTGTATTCTTCATAGGAGCATGTAAGGTTTTACCTTAAAACATCAACCACTCGATATACTCGTACTACTAAATACCCACAAATAAATACATTTAGGTTTAAATTTCCTGCATGGCTGGTACTCTGGCTTATTGGTTAGGATTTTTGCTGCTGGCCTTCACGGTCTGTGTGCGTACTTCACGTGTTTTCCTTGTAACATATGTGTGTGCCCTGTAGTGGACTGGCATGCCATCCAGACTGTTCCCCTGCCTCATTCCCTGGGTTGTCTGGAACAGACGTCAGGCCTCCTCTCCTGTAACCCTGACAAATGGTCGGAAGAATTCCAGACATTTTGTTGTTTTAATGAATGATGTAATTGAATATGCAATGGGGTTCATATGCCGTGGTATATACAACAATAATGAAATAAATCAAATCATAAATGAACTATTTTAAATCTTAAATAGCAGCAAAATAATTAGTTGTGATGAGTACCTTGTCCAATAAGTTTGTTTATATTCATTCTGAAATTTACCTCCACTATTTTTGCGTGAGCTCTGCCCGTGGGCCAATCATTTTCATTATTGCTCACTCAAACACTGGCGTGTTTATGATTAACTTGAATCTTCGCAGATTCAAGTTAATCAAGCGACTTCTTGATGTTTTACGTTATCCTTTTGCAGCAAAGAGTAATACCTGATTTTGTATTGAATTAAATATTTTGACGCATTAACGTTTCTCTGTGTCTGTGGTGGGTATGGGGCGGGAATGATTAATCTAATATTATTCGAATAATGATTAGCGAAATTTGACTAAAGTAATTCTGGCCGAAATGTCTATCCCTGGTATAAACCACGGAAGAATGACAATGTGCAATTTTGATGTTATAGCGGTCCCTAGTGTAAAATTTAAAATATTTGTATACGTTAAAAAGTTCTATTACGCTTACCCTCACCATGTTTCACGACTTTGAGACGAAAGGAAAGTCCTCTAATAATGATCTTGTTTTTGTTGCTTCGATGATTGCTAATCATATTTTACAGTGAAATAAATGAGTATATGAAATAAATTGCTTTCAGTCTTGTTGACAGTTGCACAACTAATGTCATTAACCAGCAGTTCATTTTAGCGAACAGATCCTGGGAGCGGCTATGTAACGTTCAATAAGATTTAAATCGACAAATGCAAAGATGTAAAAAGGTAAATGTAAAACGCAAGAGGCCCCAGCGAGGATCGAACTCGCGACCCCTGGTTTACAAGACCAGTGCTCTAACCACTGAGCTATGAAGCCGACACCAAAGGTTTGAAAATGTCTTCATTTGTAGAAATAACCAGAGTAACGATCTATTTTTAAAATTTTCTCTAAGATTTGTAATTCGTAATGCGTTCATTTTTAAAACAAAATAAAAATTGATGTTCAGCGCAAACTATGATACCGAAAGCCGACCAAACAGGGTCCAAATAAATGACGCCAATCAGCTGACGTCATCCGTGTGCGACAGATTTTTATTCTTAAACACAGAATTTATTTGATTTCAACAGCTGTGCAATTGCATTGACTTTCCACACAATGATGATAAACCAGACCCTCATAATTTTATTTAAATTACGTAGTCATTTATTTATTTACACCCAATTGATTTTGGCTTTCTAATAACTACATCAAAGCTACAATTTTAATAACTAGGGCACCTTTTAAACGACTGTTATAATATTAGTTTGTATTACACAGTTCTGTGCAATAAACTGAAAAATAAGTTATGGTAAGAATCAAAGTTATTATCTTCACATCCACTTCAAAAATATTGAAAAATTACTTGATACGCCAGTATAAAATTACCAACTAATACACAAGATGTTGTTCATCCATGCTTCATTTTGTGGTTCATAGTGAACCTTGCACTAAGGTAGCAGCATTTCACTTTAACTTGCAAGCTCCGCATTCTCGCATATGACACCCGCATCTTTGTGATGTCCGCAGTTGTGCTCTCCCACACCGGAATGCTGGCAATCCCGGAGACTTTTCTCCATTCCTGTGCAGCGGACTTTGTCTAGGAGGATGGGCAGGTGTTTCCCCTCCCCAAATTCAGCCTGCTTGGAGGACTTCAGGGCACGCCCCAAGCCTAGCTGACGGCAGACCACCTCAGCAGCTTGGAGGTCCCACGCATCGTCACACACTGTGCCCCATTCCCCGTCGAGGAAGACCTCCACCCGTCCACGGTCTTTTCTTCCTCCTGCCAGTCGCACAGCTCCGTCCTTAGGTCTACCTTGGTCATCTTTGCCGGCCATGAGTGCCTTAGTAGTAATGGGTGCCGTAGTCTTCCTCACCCAGCTAGCTTCCTGTGCTCTGAGCATGTCTAATAGTTCCTGCAACCAGTCTTTTGCTGAGTCTTGTGTCAGGGATTCTGGCTCTGCCACAGGAGGGCTTGGCTCTTCTGCCTTACTGTGTTTTTGGTGCTTGGCTGATAATTCAAGCCCTGTCAATGCTGTGAAAGAGACATCAGCAGATCGTTACAATAAGAGCCAAATAGATCCTATACAATTCCACTGTAGCTCTAAAATCTGAAACACTGGTACATTACACAGGTCTGAAAATTAACTTACTCTCTTTTGGCTTTAGCGGGATCAGCTTGCCTTTAGTTTTGACTGGTAGCGGCTCGTAGTGACATTGCCTCGGAGGGGCACGCCTGTTAAAACCAAAAAGGACATTAGCAACAACAGCAACGTCATGATGTTGGAGTCATTCTTAACAATCTCGGCGATATAACATTTTAGGCCAAATAACTGAGCTCTATGTCCAGTGTGTCCATGAAAAAAAATAAAATAAAAACTGTTTGTTCTGCAAAGTGTGAATTATATCTTTTGCTTTTCTACAGTGGTGTCTGCAAAACAAGTAAACATCCCAGCTGCTTTTCTCCCTCCATTAGACTTCATCAGGACACCAAAAGCCAAGAAACTAAATAAAAAATGCATTACTGTGCATCTACTACACTGACTTTTGTCTTGAGCTCGCTATTAAATGGTCGTGGCGGACTTCTGCGGTATCTAAAACAGGAACGGTTGAAGGCAAGGTTGGGCACATTTGCACAGCTGGGGTCTTGACTGGTGAATGCATGAGGAATGTCTTTTAAATAACAACAGCAGGTACAATCTGAAATTCAAAATCAAAGAACTCATTTAAATATATTAAAAATTAACACTACATAGAGTGAAAATGTTTAAATATATCATTACTTTAAAACCTTTACGTAAACCTCTGTTTTGTTTTTGCACCAATTCGTTTTTATAAAAAATCTGTGCATCTCTGAAAATATTTATTATTTACTGTCTAATTTTAATGCTCACACCCCAAGATGAATTATTGTCTGTTTGCTGGTAGAGATCCAAAATGATTTGACTGTGAAGGTCATCTTTCTAATTAGGCCTGAATTATTCACACTAATTTTCTGTTTTCATATAAAGTGTCCTGAACACGACAGTGTTAATATTAATAGACCCCTCTTGGAGACACATTAGGCCCTCGACACAAATGTGAAAAATTACATTTCTTCACGAGCTATTCCAGACTGCTTTTTTTATTATAATCCTTTTTGAAAAATTAACTTTCTTCATAGGAGATGTAGTGAAGTGGATCCTGTTTATGTGATTTTGACAGTGTCACAAAGTGGGAAGTTGCTAAAGTGAGGTAACCCTCTGTAATACTTTGTGGTAACAATCTAGCCATCTACTGCCATTTAGGGCAAACAGCTGTGGAAAAACCCAATTTAATTATTTTAAAGCCATAAGAAACAGACAGACTTAGACAATTCTAATTTATATACACATAGAATAAGTAAAACGCAAGTATTTACAACAGAGTCACAGTGTCTCCTTACCTTGATGGGTCAACAATTTTGTACACAACACCAGAATAAGACGTTGCGCTTGGAACTCCTGTTGACATGAAATATAGCTCTCCTAGAAAGATACATTAACCAGAAGTTAGACCTGGTATAGAAGAGAAATTTGTGCTCGCTGTAAAAATTTTTGTCTTGGGAGTTCGTGAGCTCTACTTTGTTGGAGTTCTGTTCTTTTAACTTTGTCATCTGTTTTATTTATAAAATGCAAATAACCTAACTTGCAAATGAAGAACGGGGTTGTGTTCGCACGCTCTGCCTCTGGCTTCTTGAAAGATGTTTATTGCTAGAAAATAGAGCTTAGATACTTCCCAAAGTTTTGTCATCATTGGCTGACGATATAAAAGTGCTGTGGGCATCTCCATCAGACTGTGGTGGACGAACTTAAACAGGGACACTCAGTAACCAAGACTACCATGAATAATGGAGGAAATATTGCAGCACTCATATTATTAATGTTACAAAATCAATTAGTGATCACTAATGTGGTGGACAGAATGAAATGGTTAAAGAAACAGTATGTTCTTTGTTCTAGGTATCAGCTGTTGTATCCTACCGGCTTCATCTTCGCCAAAGGAAATGATGTACGGATGGTAGTTGTTAATTAGGCCCGGAAAGAGGCAGCGCGGTCCCGGTCCCGTGCAGATCTCACGGTAGTCCCACTGCCCAGTGTACTGGTTCTCCTGCAATGACATCAGGCGTCTACAAAAAGTGAGGAGAAAAAAGCAGAGATGGAAAGGAGGAGGTTTCGAAAGCCACAGTGAGTGGGATTGCGATCATGTGCTTTAAACCTGTAAGAACCAAGAGAGTATCTGACGGAAAGTCGGGATGGAGACGAGGCGACCGACGGTACAGGGCCATTCCACCCACTGTGGCGTTTAAACATTCATGTGTCCCATCAGTACACAGAGGACGAGGTTCGATCTGCCTCTTTTAATCGTTTCTGTGATTATTTCCATGTCAGTTCTGTTTTCAGTGTGGATATTCATATATAGAAATCTTTGAAATGACTCTTGTTACCAAAATGTACTACTCAAATAATATTCCATTCAACTCCATTTGTTGGGGAAAAGGCTTATCTCGTAAATGACACTATATTTTATTAATAACTGAACATTTTTGTGGCGGCACTGTAGTTCAGAGGGTAGGTTTGGAGGTTTGAATCTTGCATGTTTCTCATGTGCTGTGTGTTTCCAGAGGGAGCTCTCTTCTGCAGGTGGAACAGTGTGTCAGTATTTCCCACTGGGGGTGAGAGTGTGTGCCCTTAATGGCATCCTATCCAGTGTGTTCCCCACCCTGTACTTCCTGGAACTGGTTCCCTTATATATATGCCGTATATATTTGTGATCCATTTGTTATGTGATGACTGTTTTATAATTACTGTAATCAAAACTGCCCTATAGCTCCATAGCTACACTAAAAACATTTTAAAAAATATTTTCCAGCCTTACCCACTCATGAAGTCTCCGAAAATGTATATCCCATTTAAATTTGGATTTTCACAGCCACGGTACACGTAACCACCAGTGACTGACTTTCCCACTTTGTGTGGATAGGCGTATATTGGCAGAACATCATCTAAAGGAAGGGGAAAAGAAAGCGTAAGCATGCCCAAATAGCTCAGGGGCTATAGTATTTATAGATAACATACAGTACTTGCCCCCAAATAACACAATAAGGTAGTTTTGTTGCACCTGTCACTCTTATCTCCAGTAAACTCACTCAAAGAGCTGTTAGCACACAGGTGTTTGTCGTAGCAGGAGAATCCTTCTCTGGCTCTCCACCCATAATTGCTCCCCTTCTCGATGACGTCGACCTCTTCGTATTTGTTCTGTCCCACATCGCCACAGATGATCCTCCCTTTGCCCTCCTTGGTGAGGGGGTCTCCCCGGTCCACCGAGCACCTCCACATGTTCCTCACCCCGTATGCGTACACCTCTGGGCGAGCCCCAGGCTCCCGCACAAAGGGGTTGTCCGGCGGAATCCGGTACAGGGGGCCCTTGTCATTATAATTCACATCAATACGGAGAACCTTCCCCAGCAGGGCAGATCTAATGGATGGATTGTGGATCAATTTCAATTTGTAAACCTTGCAGTGGTAGGAAAACATCCACTGAATGTCTTCAGCAGGAAAAACATGAGTCATTAAAAACCACAACAGTTGACTAGTCAAAGGCGTAATAGTCAACAATTTAATCGATGTAATGCTATAAACAAAACTGGCTGCGGCTAAACAGTTTGGACCACAAATAATCATTTTGCCGTTTGCTGGCGCTTACTTGTTCTGAGCATTTCCATATTCCCCAAATGGATCTCCTGCCATGCCTCCATCACCTGTGAAGATGTACATCATCCCATCATCTGCAAACAAGAGCTGACCTCCATTATGGTTGGATGCCGGTTCCTCGATTTCTAAAATGATCCTGGAAAAAAATGAGATAATAAATTTTAAAAAATACTGTAAACCTTCAGAAAGAAACACACAGTTCTGCAGGAAATGTTCTCAACACAAATTTTGTGATAGTTTATTTATAACACTGGCTTTTATACGGGTTCACCCCAAAAAGATATTAATATACAAACAGAATAGTGGAACAATTTGCAAACAGCAGCCAAAAACATATGAAATGGTAATTACAGCCTTCCCAATAGTCACTCACACACACCTTTCAGAACTGTGGTCGACCACGTTCATGTCAGAGGCTGAAATGCGGAACTCGCTGATCCTGATCCGTTCATCCAGGCCCACCTCCACGGAATAATAAACGTACAGCTTTCCGTTGTATTTGAACTGGGGGTGAAACACCAGGCCCAAGAAGCCCCGCTCGTCTCCCTCCCAGGGGGACGTCAGCACCACCTGGCTGATGTTCAGGAAGGGTTTTTCCAGTCGGGAGCGGTCAGACAGGTAGGCCCACACAACACCCACCTGCTCAGCCACAAAGAACCGATGGGTGCCGTCGTTGGCGTGCACCATCGCCAGTGGGTTCCGCAGACCATTGGCCACCTCCTCCAGGCAGACCTGCAGGCAGCCTCCAGTGCCCGTGGAGAGTCGGCCAAGGTCCCGTGTCATCCCATTGTTGACGGCAATGTCGGGGAAGCAGTAGTCGGGGTCCGGAATGCCCAGGAGCTCACAGAAGCGAACCTGATCCCGTTCTGCCGCCGCCAAGCGCGAGTCACTGGATAGGAAAGGGATGGTTGCCCCGCACCTTGTCCAGAAATTGGCACAGTAGTCCCTGCATAGCCCTGGCAGGGTCCTCACTGGAGTGCTGGGGTCCTCAGCATCGTAAAGGTGAGCGGCATAGGGGGAGCATTCCTAGGAAGGGACGGGCAGAGGATGAGACCTGCGTTTTACCAACAGGAAAGCAAACCATCTAATAAAAGAGAAACAGGACTGTGGTTGACTGAAAAGCTGTGACAATTAGTGTAAAAATATTGTACTGGAACTGGGCCGAGTTAGCATGATATTCCATAACACTGCATGTTGTTTTGCAGTGTATTGGCATATTGCATGTGTGTCTTGTCGCACAAGGGGATAGGTCATCCTGGTTATCAGCTCCACCAATGTTGTTTGTGTAAAATCTGTGACCACTGGTGAGGCAGCAAGTACACAAAATCTTTGCTACTAGGCTTTTCATAACCTAAGGAAATAAGGTAGACTGAAGCATGTACTGTCACAGAAAAAGTATATACGCATTGCAAAGTTTTAATTCCTATTAATAATGTATCTCCCATGTAAAGTAATTTTGCTTTACATGGGAGATGATATTTTGCTCTTATAACTAATCACTTATTGAAATTGTCAGTAAATAATAATTTTATGTCGAGATTCAATAATGTAATATTTATGCCATGGATAGGCAAAACCGAAATTTCTGAGACCCTAGAGCTTTTTACCTGGCAGATAAGGTCTTGCACGTAGGAGGCACAGGTCGCGTATCCATAATTATCGAAATTATCCATAATGCGATAAAATTTCGTCATCAGCTCCTGGTCCTTCTCAGTGTCGCAGCAGCCGAAGTCTTTGTACATAAGGCAGAAGGTCAGCTCTTCCTGCGGCCGGAACGGCGGCTTAAAATCCAAGCACTGTGGATGAGAGTCCACACTTGTCACCCATAACTGGCACAAAAATATTAAAATAAGTGACACATGACGGACAGTGCCCAGACTGTTATAGCGACACAACATAGTGAAGTGGTTCCGCAGAATATCCTGTCAGCTAGAGCTGGCAAACAAAGCAGGAAAGTGGGTTTGCTCGGCGTGTTTTCTGATCGATGCACTTTGACCATTTTTTTCCCCTTTCCTTCTTTCTGTCAACTATTTCTGATATAGGCTACCTCAGCTCAAACCGGATGTTGTGCCGCGGTGACAAAATACATATTTTCATTTTTAATATGCCAAATTACTTTTCCGGGCCATAAATTGTGTAACAAATTTCGGCTTTTTCGGTGCATATGAAAAGCTGGTGACCCGAAAGATGTTGTTCGCCTCTAAGACACAATATTCCGACATGGATAAGAACACACAAATTATTACTGTTTCAAAGCAAAAAAAAATCTAAAAATAGAAAACGCAGAAGACACATAAGAAAGAACAAAAATAAATGTAATCCATTTTCCAAAACGAATTGTATCGTCATTCCAAAGAAAATGATCCATGTATTCACAATGCAGTTATGCTGTGTGAAGAGTAAAATGCGCATTACATTTTTGAATAGTTTTTTTTTTTTTTATCGTCAAAAGGTAAAAACAGCAAATATTTTCCAGGAGTTAACATTATGATTAAGTCTGAATAACAACGTGCACAATGAATTATCCTTTAGAAGGATGTCGATTTGCCTCCCATAGTCCTTCAGTTTATGAAACATGTTTGATGTTATCTTCCACCTCAATTTGAGTTTGCGGTTACTTTCTACTAACCGCTGCGAGAAAAAAAGCGCTGCGACTTCGATTTTGTCCACAAGGCGGCAATATGCGCACAGAAATCTGCGCTTCATTCGCAAGCAATTGTTTATAAATCACTTGTTGAACTTCCTCACAAATTTTAAATTCCGGTAATTATATAGGTATGTGTCCTTATATAGATATGCATTTTAGCTCGGTATATAACCGTATTCTAGCCTCTCTTCCTTGAATTACAAGCTTACTATGACGTGAATGGTAACAAAATTCCGCGCATTGTGTGAATTGAGGTCACAGACAGACTGGAACTGGGCAATAACATGCAACCTTGCCTTGAGCATGCCAAGTTAAATGTGGCAATATGTGAATGCGTACGAATATGCACTTGTCATAGAATATGCTATACACAAACGTGGTCAATCGCATTAAATAGTAGACTATGTCAGAGCCAAAAATATAAAGCGAATAGTATGATATTTGATGAAAAATTGTATGTTGCAGTTATACAATTATTAACGTTATATTCGTTAATGTCAATATTATTAACAATTATCAATACTTGATCTGCTGTCATTTTATATTTAAAGGGATAGGCTTATATTATTTTTTATCGCTTATATGAGTACACACACCAGATAGATAGATAGATAGATAGATAGATAGATAGATAGATAGATAGATAGATAGATAGATATTGTTTCAAATGTCCAGTTTTAAAAGAGCCGCCGAGAAGTGGAATGTGAATGATGGCGTTGCACGGCCGGAGTGTGGCTGGCCCTTTAAGAAGGCTGCGCCGGGCGTCTGGAGCGCTGCCGCTCCGCACCTTCAATGCTACCTGCTCTCTATTGGCCACCCGGACCGCGACGCTCCGCCGTAGTTTCAAACGAGGGGGCGAATGGGTTAGAGCGAATTACAAATCTGATTGGGGACTCGACCCTTCTGCAGCACGTAAGCGCCTTTGCTCCTCAGTTATTTTAATTACCTTTTTTTAATGTACGATTTCCCTTTTCAGAGTACGCTAATACTTTTGATCCGTGTTGGAAGTTTAAAATACGACAATCCCATGCAGACGGTTCAGGGTGGATTTTGAAGTATATTATATTTTAGATTTATAGCAAAAAAAGAAAAAAAACACGCTGATATTCTTGCATGGTATGTAGCTGCATCGCCACGGAATACTAACCACGACTATTTTTCATCGATCTTTCTCTGCGTGTCTTGGGACTGCGATGAAGACGGCTCATGCCTTTCAATAATCTAACAGAGAATCTCGCAAATAGGAGAAGGTTATTAAATCGCTACTTCCCAGTATTTACTTTATTAGACAAATAAAGACTATTGGAGCAGCTTAACGCTTGCCGATCGTTTTGGATGAGCCAATCCAATTTTGCATTTTCATATTTATTTATTTCGTGTATTGTTTTGCATTCCGATAGTTTGTCATTTAGTTACACTCGGCACCTTGACTTTCTGACTGTCTGTACCATGCCTTCAGTTTTGGTTACAGTGTCACCCTCAAGGTTTGGCTAGCGCATTTCCTCTAGATTCATATCCATTTATACCGTAAAACAGCGCGACATCCGAAGAGATGGCCAAACACCAGTCGGACGGACCGATGGATGATTTAAGTAAGGTCTCCGACGAGGAGTTGCTGAAATGCAGCAAGGAGGAATTGATCAAACGCCTGAGGAAGGTGGATAGCGACAAGATTAACTTAATGCTGGAACACGGCAACATGATGAAAGACATCAACCGGCGGCTGCAGGTACATCTCCACGAAATCCGCGGCCTGACCGAGGCCAACCAGAAGCTCCAAGATGACAACCACGAACTGAGGGAGCTCTGCTGCTTCTTAGACGATGACAGGCAGAAGGGTAAGAAACTGTCCCGGGAGTGGCAGAGGTTCGGCAGGTACACCGCCAGCGCCATGTGGAAGGAGGTGGGCTTGTACCAGCAGAAGCTGAAGGACCTGGAGGCCAGCCAGGAGATGCTGATGCGGGAGAACGTCGAGCTGAAAGAAGTGATCATCATGCTGGATGAGGACAGGAACGGGGCTGGCTCCAGGAGCTCCATAGACAGCCAGTCCAGCCTGACTAATCTGAACGGCGGCTCCGGTACGGTTCGGGACGTAGGGGACGGAAGCAGCACGTCCAGCACAGGCAGCGCCGGCAGCCCCGATCACCACCACAACCACGTGCATAAGCCAGGGGAAGCCAAGATGGGAGCCATCAGGAGGTCCATGGACGATCTGCTGGCGCCGCACCACCACCGGAGCATCCCGAACGGGCTGAACGGTACGTAGATGCGGCTCCGGGTCACGCCTCGGTTCGGAAACTCCTGGCTTGGGGCAATGTAGTCATAAAATATGTTTGTATTTCTCATTAGTGTTTTATCGGATTAGAATGTTTCTGTAATTTAATGAGGGCAATTGAATTAATTGTAAAAACCATACAAGCTTGAAAACATTGAATTGGGTGTGGTTATAAGCATGCCAGGAAATTAACAATACGGAGTAAAATAAAAAGCCATTGGCTTCCATATATCAAATATCCTATGCGGTTATAGTGTTTCCTAATTATAACGGTGTCCTTACTGAATGCATCATCATTTCCTAATTAGCAGGGCATTATTAATAAGTTTTGAGTCTTGAGGTTTGGTGAATTTAAAAGCAATCGCATAAACATGGCCGTGTAGCAAAATACATGAACTGCCGGGAAAGTTACTGTTAATCAGCCTTATTGTGTGCTGGAGATTACATTATCTGCCTTTTGGACATGTGTTTCCCTATAGATCTTAGCGAGTTTCCAGATCTGGCCAAGCACTGTTATTGATTTTTTCCTCCAAGAAAAATAAACCCCTCAGTTCAGTATATTGGGGCAGCTGGCTGTGCCGTCAGTCAAAAATCAAGCCGTAATACACAACTTCGCTGGTGGTCAGAAAGCACAAAGATAAAAACGTGCCTGTTTGTTGCTGATGGAGAGCAGAGGTGACCATACTGTGGATGCATTTCCTTCTGTGACTCTCAATTTCTGTGAGCAAGTTCTTAACCTGTGAGGTACTTTCTGCTGTCCCACACCCAGATATCAAGCTGCCATTGTGTATTTTATGAGTAGGGACAGTCAGTTACAGCACAGACCTTGATCCCTGGTTAAGAAGGCTTACTGGCAGTGCTTTTACTCATTACCTCATTAGGGTGATGATAAGTTCAGGTGGTCTGAATTCCAGCATGAGCCACAGAACTGAGTAACGGTGAATGTGACCAGGCGTAAATCCCAGGACGACTACGTGTGGATGGCCCAGCGTCCCATCAAAGCGCTTCTGAAAATCTTGTGAAGTGATGCTCAAAGATGGACTTGTGGAAAGGGGAGTATTTCACAAACCGGATTGTCGCCACTGTGTTATCTTTGGCCACAAAATACTTCTTGTGATTTTGAAGGAATTTCCTGGAATAATATGAAAAAAATGTCAGCCGAATTCCAGGAATATTTTTGCTCACTCTGTTCTAAGTAGGATTTGCTACACCTGTGTTGCACTTCACAAATGACTGATGAAGAAGACCTCGGTCTGGTAAAACTGGTGTGGTGGCAATGGGACGGTGAAGGAATGTTGTCGGCATTGTTGACTGGATTGCACTATGAAGTCAAAGAACAACAGCGGCACAAACAATATAAAGAATGTGTGAAGAGTTGTGTAATGGGGGCATGTGAAAGTGGCGGGTGGCACGGGGTGAGGATTAGGGACTGTGTGACCTGCTCACCGGGTCATAGCTCTGATGCCATAGGAAGGGTTCTAGGATGGCTAGACAGGACCACAGCTCGGCAGAGAGGATGGGCTCAGCTCCAGTGTTTGTGCGGCGCGCGTGGGCTGAACGTATGGCAGGGTGTCATCTCTGTGGACAGAATAGTAGCCTGTGTTGTAGCATTCCGGAAATGCTGATCTTTAAGATCGATGTAACCTTGAATAGTTTGTAAGTTTGTGGCTTTGTTAGAATGGCTGAAGCCTTCAGCAGAAGGGGGTGCGATAATTCCCACGGGAATGTTTAAACGTGAGCAGTGCAATTACTAAGCGGCAATTTTAAAAAATATATCTGATGAGCCAAAACCTGTACTTTCAAAGCGGCAAGCTGTAGAAACAATTCTGTTGCGATGAATTTTCCATTTCATTTGTGGAATATTTGTTCCTTGATAAATATGTCATTGCTTAAATAAAATATTGGGTGATATAAATTGATACATAAACTGGTTAAAAAGAAACTAGGCAGAAGCATTTTAAAGAATCTTATAAGCTGCAATCAGATTGTGTGGAACTGGGTCCCTTGGTTTCACGTGCGCTAAGGAAGGGCTTATCTTAATTGCTTTTAGTAGAGAAATCGCAAATTGATTTTGAACGCTTCTCTTTCCGGTGGTTTATTTGTCATCGTGGGGCAATCTACCATGAGCAGAGAACATGCAGACGCAGAAACTACATTTACATTGGAAATTCAAATGCTTGTTTGACTCATTGACAAATTGTTGTTGTTTTTTTTAAGTGGAATGGAGAAAATGAGAAAATGTTTTTCATTAAAATCATCGCTAGGGAATTACCAGACTCTGAGATTAAATAATTAAAATACTCTAATACTTTTATCTAAATGTTTGGCAATAGTATTGTGCTCATATAATTTATTTTTGATGGCTATCACAGATGGCACTTGAAAGAAGTCCAAGAATTGGAGTCTTAAATCCCTGTTTCTCTGCTGGTTAATGGGGAGAGAGTGATTGTAGCCTAACCTCTTAAAGGCTGTCCTTCACCGAAGAGGCGAGTTCAAGCCTGGCTTAACACGGCGGTATTTTCATTCAGACTGTTTGTGTTATGGGCTTGATGTAACAGAATGTGCGATCAGCTTGCTGTCTAACCTGTATGGATTGAGAAACCACCCCTTTCTCTCCAGGTGATGCTCTCATGCAGAACGTGCTTCGATTCCATTTTAGAAACAGAACCAAAAAGGTAGTAGAAAAGTTTTGCAGCACGGAAACGATTCCGGACTCAGCGAATCGATCAGAAAACTTATTTAGTTTATTAAATTGCCCCCTCAGCTGGGGATGAGGCCCCCCAGCTTGGTGAATCGCCGAGCATGTTTCCGTGGAAACTCCGCCGTCCCTGTCGCATGAGTCTTTCCACGCCTTCGGGACTTTGCACACGTGCTGGGAAGTGGAAAACCTGGAGGCACGAACCGGCATGTGGGCGACTCCGATGGAGTACTGCCTTCTGAAGTCAGGTGCTTACCCAGTCCCGAGAGGCCGGGCTTTCGGGCAGAGGGTGTGAAATACCTCAGGAGAGGCGCCGCGGTGCCCGGCCCGTCCGCGCTTTAGCAGCCCTGCGGCACAGATGGCGGCATAATTATGGCAGGACTTGCGGCCATGCGGCCAGCCCCATGCAGGATCTGCACCCGCAGAGCTGCAGGTCAGCGTGTGGAAGGGAATCCCCGTGCCTCAGCTAAATGCTCATTAATTCACGTTCTTAGTGTCCTTAGGACTAGATGGTATGAAAACAAACCTTGTGTAGTCATGCTGGACTTAATTCATCTGCTGAACTTTGCTCCCTGGAAACGAGAGGGAAAGGTGCCACTCTGAGCGTCAGGGCTTGCCGAAAAGCCCAGATCACGCCCCGGTGCCCCAACCCGTGTTTCACCCCCGTGTACCTTCCGGAGTTCCCCCCCACACACAGAAAGTCAAACATTTATCAAGTCCTGTGTGAATCTGGCCTTTCTGTGTCCATCTGTGGGAGTAGTGGCCTTCAGGAAGCAGATAAAGGACGCCTTGAAGCTGAGATGGTAATTGGGGACGCTCTTTGAGTGGAAGTCAGCCAGCTGAGCCCCCCCCCCCCCCCCCCACACAGTGCTGTGGACATGTTGTTCTCTTCTAGTGTGTGGTAAACAGGTGGATTCCTTAAGAACGATTGCGTCAATAAACAAGCCATGGCTAATTGAACACTTCAGGTGTGGTCATCCATTTCTTTAAAGTACCTCGCTTCCTTCAAACCCTTTCAAACCCCGGTGGGTTCCGCCTTTCCGAACTCTCAGCAGCAGTGGGACATGTGCAGTGATCGGTAAGGGGACAGGCTCTGCCAGTCTCCATTCTGAGTGATGCATTCCAGTGAAGTGTACAGCTCGAACTGTCTGTATTTCTACGGCTGTGTTTGTTTCCTTTCTTTGTCTGAATCCCCTTTTGTGCTTTTGCATTTATGTACGCAAAGGCCAGCTCCCACCTGATAAGGGTGATATTGTGTGCTCCTTCGTGACGTGCCTAGTGCTGACACGGTGCCACGTAGTAAGACTACCGGCTTTCAGCCTAGTAAAGTCGCTGTGGGTGAAAAGGGCACCGGTAGTATAAGTCTGGTGCGGAAATGGACAAAATAAACACTGAGCGCCTTGCCCAGTGCTTACGTTTAGAGTGAAACTTGGCTGCCTGTTCGTGGCTTGCGTAACGGGCATATTATCGATACCGAGGCCACTCCCCTGCAGCTAGGCATTGTGGGCCGGCTGAGATAGGCGCTATCGCTGAGCTGGCGGTGGTGAAGCTATTAAAGCCCAGCTCTCATTCTGGTCCAGGGTTTTATCTCTGATAGGTCCGCTAGCGCTCTGTGTGTCTCCCCACCCCCCGCGGCCCTCCTTTGTGTGGTGCCCCCGCTATTGTCTTTTATCAGAGCCCGTCCCCACCCTCCCCCAAACTGTCCCATCATTCATGGACACCATATCTTCTTCCCCACGTCCCCCCTCCCCCGTGCTTTTTGTGTCTCCCTTAAAAAAACAACAACAGAAAAGAGACGGCAACAAAAGCTATTAAAGTGGCATGGTGGGAACTATCAGGGGCCATGGGGGTCAGTTTGGGGTAGCGGGGGTGGGCCCGGGGGAGGGGGTGGGCTAGAGCTGGTGGATCCCGCCGGCTTGGTAATTGGGTTTTTTTTAGCTGACTGCTTCCACCCGATAGCCAATCAGAAGAAGCAGTGATGCTGGTACCACAAACTTTGGGGGGAAGCAGCCCTGGATGGGGGGATGGCAGCGGGGGAGGGGCGGGGAGCTTAAGGGAGGGGGTTGGACGGTTGGCCGATTTCACACATCGATCCAGGCTGTTGAATTAAAATAGCATTGCGTAGTGCCACAGGAATGTGTATTAAGATCTGTTTTTTTTTCCTGGATATTGTGTATATTGCTAGGGCTCTATTTTTGGCTGTTTAAAGGTGGTGGCCCCTGCAGGAATGGGATTCCCGTTTCACCCTCTGCAGCTGAATGCGGCCTCACATGACTCCCATCGCT